GGGGGGGGGGGGGGGGCACGCTTGTTGTCGGTGTTTCGGTGGGAGACTACTCGTTAGTAGTCGGACATCGCGGGAGAGACAGCGAGGGGCGAATTGAGCGCGCGGTTTCTGAGTATTTGCCATGTTCTCCATGGAACAGCGAAATATCTTGCAAGCAGTTGGTGCGCAACGTCAACCGGTAGGAGCGTGGTCTTTGGATGCCGTTACTCTTCCAGCGATAGCATAAAAGGTTTGGGCGGAAACTGCACATGCTTAGAAGATAACTCGCTGACGCCTTTCTGCCACAACGAGCAACACACACTTGATTTAAAACACGCCTCCAAGACCTGCCGTATGGAAGAGGCAAGTTAAGTCAAGCCCAAACTCTTGTGTTGTTTGACTAGGGTCACATTGTTGTTTTTTTTGTCTCAAGTGCGTCCAAGTTCTACCCATCTTACATATTGACACAAAGCTCCACGTGCAAGTTCTACCCATCTTACATATTGACACAAAGCTCCACGTGCAAGTTCGACCCATCTTACATTTTGACCCAAAGCTCCACGTGCAAGTTCGACCCATCTTACATTTTGACCCAAAGCTCCACGTGCAAGTTCGACCCATCTCATGTGCCATTCAGTGCGACACCAATCAAATCAACGATGGTGACATGTAACGAACCCATACGTCTGTACTCGTCTCACATGCTCGGTGACGTCCATGTCGGGATCTGAGGGAGGGAACAAGGCGTGCCGCTGCATCTTCTTGAGGATGTCATCCCGGAAGAACACCATCTCCTGAAAGACAACAAGCCAAGAAAAATCGATGACAAATATGACAAGATAGCACATGAACTTGCAATAATGTGTGGTGTAGAAACCACGGGTTGCAAAAAAAAATACCAACAACATACCGACGCCGGTCGTGTCAGTAGCAATTCGGCTGAGAAAGGCAAGAGGCTGGAATATTCTCGGAAATATGCGTTGATTTCTGCAGGAGGACGGCACGCACATGTATGTAGCAGGCGAACGGGTCAATTCTCTGGTTGTGTGGCATGGCGCACCTGGGTGAAAAACCTTAGCCGGCAGGGGTTTGTGGCGAAGGAGGCGTGCTTCAGGTTCTCCCGAAGAGACTGGGTGAAGTAGGCGGGGAGCTGTCCCAAACGGGTCGCGATTCCGCCGCAAAAATCGCGATTCCGCCGCAAAAATGAGGGGGCACCGTTGAGTAGGACGAGACAGACGGCCCACCGTCGATAGATGCAGCGTCCCACCAATTTGACACACGACGTCATCGTGTTAGGATTCGAATCGGCCCGTGGGGATCACAGAAAGAGAGGGTCGGGTTAGGTTTTCGCTCGGGATGCGTCCACTTTCCAACCTGGTTGCGGTCAGGTACCTTGGTTGACGATCAGGCTTGGTTTACGTGTGTATGCCCTCCCCAAAACGAAGCAATAGACGAACTACAACACACAAGAGAGTCAAATCAACACCCCCAGTATTCCATCAAGCAAGCCCACTCGCCACAAGCCTGCCTCCTGTAGTGCTTTTCACTCACTCCGTTCGGAAATATTGGGGTCATTGGTACATTCACATTCGTATCCGAATGGTGCTATATATACATAGTAGAGAGGCGGGCGATAAATGGATGTAAATATATATACATATACATATATATCCGAACAGAGTGATAGTAGAGAGGCGGGCGATAAATTGATGTAAATGCGGAGAGGGCTAGACAGGACAAGTGAATTTTCCTTGTTCGATCCGTGAAACCACGGGCAGATTTTCTTTGGGTCCTTGGGAGCGGAAGGGCCGCACGGATTGATTGCGTGCCCTCTGGTGCCCGTTACGCTCCGTCGAAAGAACGAGGATCGAACTGAAAACGATCACCGAGAACAAATAAAAGACAACATCTGGGATGGTTCTATTTACGACAATGTTCGGGAAAACTGCAAAGCCCTTTCGCTCCACGGTGGTACAAAATGTTGGCAGGTCTTCCTTCCCGGCCTTTTGATTTATTCGCCCGCGTGTGGAGGCGTGACCTAACCAGGGCGCTCTGCTAAAACTCAAGCCAAGGTTCCCGTGCCCGCCGTCCCCGTGCTAAATACCGGTGCGAACGAACAAAAAAAGTGCAGCAAACCCTGACAGCTGGCAGCATTACGACGAAAAAGAAGAGTACAAACAAACCAACATCTACATGGATATGCACACCCTACACACACCAACACTCAACACCACGAAAAATACTTCAACAAGACGGTCGGTCTGTCGGCCTTCAACCTAGATATCGAGCAGCAGGCATGTTTTTACTTTTTTTTCTCACCGGGGGTCTTGGCAAAGTGTCCCCTGCCCCCGGGTCTTGCGGGCCCGGGACGAAGACGAACTTGGCCGACGAAGCAAGGTCGGGAAACTTGAGGATGAGCTTGCAGAGCGAGTCGAACCTTGCCACGGCCTGCGCTACGCTGTCTGCCGCTGGGAGCGGTACGGGAAATAATAGAACGGAGCGGAACGGGACGGGACGGAATAGAACGGAGCGGAGCGGAACGGAAAGTGACCGGACGGAAATGGAACGGAACGAGAACGGATCGGTGCGGAACGAGACGGAATAGAAACGGATTGGAACGCACGGGATGGAATGGAATGGAACGAATATGAGAACGGGACGGAACGGAATGAGACAGCAGCAACTCACGGGAAACATGAAACAAAGAAACAACACGCCGTGAGAGGCACCTGGTATACTACTTCGTAGTAGACAAGGGGGTTGTGCAAAGGCGGCGATGACGATTGCTGTGATGGGGTTGCAGCTTCATAGCGACGATTGATTGCAGTGTGTCTCGCGGATACATGATGTTTCCAAGCGTGGTGAATGTGTACAAGCTTTTCTGTTGCTCTCTCATCACGGTTCATGAAATCCATGAAATTATATTGAACCTACGCTGTTGTTCCCTTGGTGTCGCAAGTACAAAGTAACGGAGTGTAGAACAACGCATGGGGGTATGACCACACGGTGAGACATACACACACCGGAAACTTAAACCTTTACAACAAACTGCCGCACGCACACAAAGACAGCATTCGAGGCTAGCTTAATCTCGAAACGCTCATATCATGTCCGTAGGACACTTCCACAGGTCATACCGTGGGTAATGGGCGAGGAGCAGAAGTTGCCCATGAGCACGAAATGCGGGGGGGGCTGGGCGTACTGGAACCCGTCGAACAACGCCTCCAGCTTTTCCATCACCTAGGGTAGGGGGGAGGGGTGCCGTCGTAGTTGGCATAAGGTTACACACTGCATCAAACCCGCAAAAGATTGGATGGAGGTTTTCTATTCCGGCGCCAGTCTACGGTTTTTGGTGGTCCTGTTTGGTTCTCTACATATCAGCCGGGGTTACACGGGAGAAGGACCTAGACAGGGACTTTGTATACATGTTGTCCAACCTCTCCCTCTCCCTCTCTCCCTCCTGCGGTGCCTGCCGTCTTTAGTACCATTTCTTACGTGAGCGAACGGTTCAGCAGGAGTCCTCTCCTTCCCGCTCATCGCGTAAACTCATGGGTGAACCGCTTTCCGTCTCAGCATCGCGAAGTGTTCACTCCAGCGAGAGACTGACATGTAGCTTTACGAGGTTACCCACTAGACCACCCTGCCGAACCCAAAGTACTGTTAGTAGTAGCAATATAAGGTGTATTTGTTCACCTGTGGTTTATCAAGGTTTACGTCTGAGACGATCACGAACATGGCATCCGTAGCCTTGAGCTGCACGGAAAGAGGGGGAGAGGGAGGGGGGGGGGCGAGTGAGAGAAAGCGGCACACGGATGGAAACACGTAGCAGACAGAAGCTACTACGATAGGATTCGATCGGTCATGCCGCCGGTGTGACGTGGTCGGGTGGTGGTGGCGTTCGCGATGTGTGTGCTTGCCTTAATCTACGCTCCACACTAGCTAGAAGGAAGATTTTTCACACGCCAAAAGACAAGAGACCACACGTGCGGTGCTGTTGAGAGCGGTAGATACCATCGCTAGCGACGAAAAGACATGTATTACAAAGTGTGTCGCCACTAAGAAACTGCACCCCATTTTACAACCAACAGCCGCACCAATAACACGAACAGCAACAAGAACATGAACAGCAGCAAACAAAAACAACGACACTCATACAACAGCAGCAGCAGCAGCAGCAGCAGCAGCAGCAACAACAACAACAACAACAGCAACAACAGCAGCAACCGCAGGCGCACCTCGAGTTGCCGCATGCGCTCCATCTGCTGGGGGTTGACCCCTGTCCCAAAGAGATCTGCACGGCCCAGCGCTCTTAACGAGTCTTCCCTTGCCTCAATGGGTGGGAATCCCACCATTGCCACCTGACAAGATACAAGCAGAGAGAGAGAGAGAGAGAGAGAGAGAGAGAGGAGAAGAGAGGGAGAGGGAGCGGTTGGTTTGAAGAGCGGCGTCCAGGTGAGGGTTGGTTGATCCAGGTTAGCGGTTGCGTCGCCGATGCTTGGCTTGATAGACAGTCGTGGCTCCGATATAGGAGGGTACCTCATAAGAGGGGGCTCCGAGATAAGAGGGTCCAAATGTCCCGGACTCGACCCGCTGTGGTTCATGGTAGGTTACCCTCTTATCCTGGTATTTGAAGGGGCTCCTGTATAGGAGGGTCGAGGACCTTTGTGACATTGGCATCACCCTCCAATAACGGCGCCACGACTGTATCGAGGTCGACTACAACTACAGGCACCGCGATCATTTGTCCCTCCCCTCATCCCCCCACTCGGTGTTTGCCATCGGGATTGGGTTTTCGTCGCTTGGCAACGACGTTGTAAAACAAGCCAATTCACTTCGTGAACTCGGCAACCAGGTTACCGTTTTTTCTTTTTACCTCGTTTTTTTTTTTGGCGGTAACCATAATGGTGGTCGAGTAGATCATGTTGTGCGGGGTGGAGAAACCTCACTCCGCGCAACGGGGGATGATCGCACCACGTTGTGTTAAAATGGTCAAGCTTCCTCGAGGCAGTTACACAGTGCTTACAACTGTCTCTGGAAGTGAAAGCACCAGAAAATAAATTAAGTCATACGTAGCTGTCATCCGTACC